TTTTTTAATATTTTCTAATGGTGGTGTGCCTCGTGATTTTTTTCATGAAAAAAGTGTGCCTTTGCACAAAAAAGGTTGAAAAACACTGCTCTGAACTACTCAAAATTTTCGCTATCAGTTCTCCAGAAATGGTCAGAACCTGCTGAATACAACTTCTGAAGAAAATACTTCATAAACATTGCAAAAAGTAGCAAATGGAAATTGACAAAAAGCAGAACCATCTCCTCTCACCACCCAGACCACTGAATAATTTAGGATTTCATATTGACAACCTTGCTTTCAACTCAAAATAGCTGTTTGTTGGTCTCTTTGTTTTTGAACAAGAGATGCTACATTAAAAGATGTTGCTTTTAGTCAGTGTCTCAATAGGCAAAGTTTACCGAAGATGTGCTCTGTGTTCTTTAAGGTAGCTCCTCTAAGAAGCACATTTTCTGATCCCAGTGGCCTGCAAAGTAAAAATATTAATTAGTTTTATCAAGGGAAGAAACCAAGCATTTTCAGAATGAAATGAAATGCTGAACAAACAAGGAAACATAATTTTGTTTATGACAATGCATAAATACATGTTTAATACAAAAAATAATGCTAATCCTACCCAAAACATACTAGGCAGGAACAAATATTGAACAAATATTGAACAAATATTCCTAAAATACAAACTGACAATTAGAGTACATTCGCAAAACATTAAATCTATCCTACATGTATTTTATAAACAGCTATGGAGTTCAATGCTGCTTATTAATTAATCAGTTCGAATTGGAATTAATGGATTTAATCGGAAAATTTCATTTTAATTACACTGTGCTATACTGTATGTCATACAAGATAAGTTATTTGAATAAGAGAACTAGATATTTAGCTGTTTGTGGCTAAAGATTGGAGAATTTTAATTGTATGTGGTACAGGTAGTCCTTGACTTACAATTATTTAGTGTCCATTCAAACCATGCAACAGAGTTGAAAAACGTGACTTATGACTGTTTTTTACACTTACATCCACCTGCAGCATCCCCATGATCATATTTGGCAACCATCATGTATTGATGATGGTTGCAATGTCCTAGGGTCGTGATGGCGAACCTATGGCACGCATGCCACAGGTGGCATGCAGCGCCCTTTCTGCGCCCCAGCTCAGCTCCACTACACAAGCGTGCATGCCTCCCGCTGACCAGCTGATTTTGGGTCATGCGAGCATGCATAGGAGATGGGGGAGCACGGGGGTTGCACTGCACCACACACCTGTGCCCCATATTTGGTCCCAAGAGACTGTAGGGAAGCCTACTAGGCCCAAAATGGATTGTGGGGGGGGGGGTCGCATGCACGGGGAAGCACAAGGGGCCACACACGAATGCGCAAAGGTCAGGGCACAGGGGGTGTTGCGCGCACATTGCATTATGGATGTGGTTTTGGCACGTGACGGCAAAAGGGTTAGCCATCACTATCCTAGGGTGTTGTGATCACCTTTGGTAACCTTCTGACAAGCAAAATCAATGGATAACCAGGTTCACTTAACAACCGTATGATTAACTTAATAACTGCAGTGATTCACTTAACAGCTGTGGCAAGAAGGGTTTTAAAATGGGTAAAACTCACTTAACAACCATTTTGCTTAGTAATGGGAATTTTGGAATCAATTGGGATTGTAAGTCAAAGACTTCTGTACATTCTCTTTATTTAATTTCATAAACATGCACACATATATATTACTAATTAATATCTGCACGTTTTATGTTTGCATGATCACAGATAGGAAACAGTAAGTATCTGCTTCAAAAGCATTAGATCTTAAATGTGGTTCCAAAATCTGAATACAATGAAAATATGCTAAATATATTTTTAAAAAATTATGAAGAGGAAAAAAGATTTATACTCCTTTTGAAGTTAAACCTAATATATCAAAATGATGAGCAGCATAAGTCTATTTCAAAGAAGGAATTTTGTTAGAAGGAATTACAATGAGTCATAATCTGCTTTTGCTCATTCTCAGAAATATGCCAAAGTATTGCAAGATTTGCTAACAGGATTGATCTGTTATCAGGCCAAATAGGCCAAAACAGGAACTGGAAAAAGAACTGTGAAGGAAAATGTCAAGTGTAATGTGAATTTGTGTCACATCCAGACTCCTTCCATATTAGGAGTAACCCCACAGTTTATTTTTTTGCAGGAAACACAATGAATACAAAGAGAGCTTTGACAAAACAGATTCCTGGTTTCCATCTCCCTTTGGGCTATATTCATCCAGAAATTACAAAGATTAAGGAAATGTAGCCTAGCTAACAGCTCATCTGGCCCCAAGCCACATAGCACTATACTGCCAGCTGCAATCGAATATCCAATGACATGATACACATAGCAATTAACTCTAGAGAATCTATCTTTGGACAGAGGTTTATTTATTTATTTGAATGCACAGGCCAGATGAAATGTTTCCACCACACCTATTTTTCTAATACTAAGAGGTGAATTACCTGGGCAACATGTGCAAATTTGTATTTGAAGTTCTTACCTTGCAATTGGCTCATTACTCTCATGGTAAATATTTATCCGGCCAACAAATCTGAAAGCAAAACAAAAAATATCCCAAGTTAAGGAAAAGCTGAGCATCAGTATGGCTATGAGGAAGCAGAGATGTGCATGCCAATAATTGAACACATGGGCATGCAGATAGTTTCCACTGTTATCGCTAGATGCATCCTGAATACAGGTAGTCCTTGGCCTACGACCACAACTGAGCCCAGAATTTAAATGAGAAATTTGTTAAATGAGTATTGTCACATTTTACGATTTTTCTTGCTACATGTTAAATGAATCGCTGCAGTTGTTAAATTAATAACACAGTTGTTAAGTGAATCTGCCTTCCCCATTGACTTTGCTTGTCAGATGGTCACGTGGCCACTCGGACACTGGAACAGTCATAAATATGAAACAGCTTTCAAGGATCTGAATGTAAATCACGTGACCATGGGGAATGCTGCAACGGTCATAAGTGCAAAAAATGTCATAAGTCACTTTTTTCAGGGCCATTGTAACTTCAAATGGTCACTAAATGAACTGTTGTAAGTCTAGGACTGCCTGTACCTCCATCCAAAGCCAGGGCATTTCTCCTGTTTCTTTCCAAAGCTTGTATCCTTAGTGATTCCTCTAGCTGAAGCCCAATCTCCAACAAAACACTTTAATTTTCTTTAAAGTTCTCTTCCTCTGCTTTACAACAGTAAATTATAGACTTCTAGGAAGTGGTTAATTTTTATTTGTTTAGAATATTCCTATTTTTTCTTTCTATATGTTGTATATTTTTACCTGTTGCTAGTAATCTTGATTGGTGTTCTTAATTATTGAATTAAAGAATATTTTTAATTATTGGTTGTGTATGATTTTTTTAAAACGATCTTTTAAACTGTATGCCACTTCAGAGTCACATTTTGTGAGATGGACAGCTATATAAATATTATAAATTTTCAATGCAGCAATTAGCAACATCGAAATTCCTTTCCATATGGCTATATATGTCTTCCAAATCTGGTTTAGCCTGTCTTTCTAGTTAAAAATCGACCTTTTTTTTAACTGAATACTGAAACTGTGGATTACAATATGGGGCCTCTTTTCAAACACCATAAGCTTCTACAGCTTCCCCCTCTTCAGGTATGCTGTTACATTTAGCCCAACTCTTAATGTTAGATAGTAGGATTTGACTTAAGAGAACTTGTATTTCAAGAAAGGAATGAGGAAAGAAAATAGACTCCCCCCCCCTTTTTTTACAGTCCATTGAAATCCCTTAGTTTCACTTCTGCTTCCTATCAGTTTCCTATTACTGATTCACATTTTCCTTTACTTCTTTTTTTTTAGCTCCCTTTTAGGATGTCCCCCTCCTCTCTCCAATCTTTCATTATGGTAGACCCACAAACTGCCTGCAACTCAACGGTTTTGCAATAAACATGCTAGTAGCATGACAGGGTGAAAAATGATAAGAAAGTGGGCACAGCAGACAAATCCATGCCTCATCTCTTTTAGATAAAAGTACAGGCCTTAGATTGTAACATCACATCTGACATCTTGTTGATTTTGTCCTTTTCTTGTTGCTGGCTACAAGTGTCATTTTCTACTCAATCCAATTCTTTTGCTTGAGTTATTCTGATAGATCTATCCTTGCCTTCATACACCCAAGGATTCAGCTTTTTCTTTAACAGTAATTATTTGAATATCCAGCTTGACAGCCACAGCTAATTCACCTTAGCTGATCTAAAAAGCTAAGAGGAGTTGGCCATGGTTTCCCTGGATGGGAGTCCATTTGAGAAGTCCAAGACCAAGACATTTAAAAAAAAAGAAATCCCAGAAAAAATGAAATAACTTCTACATCACACCAAGAGAACTGGGTGGATATGCTTGTCTAACTCAGCAGGAATTGAGCTTGATTTGAAGTAGATCTTATTTTCTTATTTATTTGACTTACATGTTGAACTTGGATAGCAAAAAGTCAGAGCTTCTGTAGCTTTGGCAAAGAACACTAGGAGACTGAAAGCTAATGGCCAGGAACTGATGCAGAGTGGTGCCTAAAATTACTAATATGGAAGTAATGCTTATTGTATTAGATGATTTCTGATTTTATTCCAAAATTGCATCAGTGTGCAACCTAATAAACTCTGGGGAACTCTGGGGAAAATGAGCAAGTTGGAACAAAGAAGCACAAACATATCTACTTGCAGCCACAAATAACTAAGCTATATATATATTTATTGTATTATTGTATATGTGCAGGGTTGCAGTTTGTCCTTTTCGTTGGTTTGCAGAGGATGGCCCCCATGACAAAGTCGCTCACATCAGTCTGAATCACGAAGGGCTATTCAGGATCCAGGTGTTTGAGGACTGTTTCCTTGGCAAACAGGCCCTTCAGAGTTTCAGGATGATGCAAGTGATGTTCTGTGGGGACCGACCCATTTATCAAGCCAGGCTAAACCTAGGATTACTGCTCTGGTCACCTTGGGCACGATGACAAAGTGAACCATTTCCCAGTGTTGGGCCATCCCTAGCCTCATTAGCTCCGTAATGAGGGTGGCTGGGAAGAGGTGGCCCATGCCATCATTCCCCCTCCCCAGCAGGCTGTTCAAATGCATATTTAAATGATTAAAATGTAATGTGGGTATCATTAATGGGTTAGAATATATAGAGAACACATAGCCATAATTCTAGACCAGTTTTACAAGTGGGGAATAAATGGTAAGAAATCAAATGATGTGTAACTTGAAACTGGTGCTTCCCCCACAAGTTATCATCCCAACTGGGATATCTCAATAAAGGATGAAAGAAGAGTTGGCAGAAACTGGAGCTATCCTAAACTATTAACTAGTCTGAAAGAACTATATAGAAAACAATCATCATATAACTGAACAAAAGAACACTTAGTTGAAATACAACACCAATGTGTAGGTCACTCTAACAGAAAAGAAGAATTAGGGACGTCTTCATTGTTCCAGACATTTTCTCAAAAACTGCACTTCTACACTTGGGAGTTCCATGTACTTAAAGTGGTATTAGTGAAGACATAATAAATAAGAACATAATAAATTACATGTTCTTACTTATAAAGATCAGGCTGAGGCTGTTCACATTCAATGGTAGCCTGTAGTTTGTCAATATCTTGTTCATCGTGAAGAGACTTTGTATCCTGGACCGCATAATATGTCTAGAATAAAAAAGAAAGTAATTGTGAAATTGGAAATAGGAATTTTGAACATGAAACACAGTTCTTCTCATCTTTCCATCTGTGGTCATGTGGTCAAACACTACGCCAAATTCTGCAGTTCTGAACGACTGCCTAATAGTTATCTTTGCAGATGTAGATTCTGAGATAGTAGGTAATCCAAACCATTTTACATGGCTCTACTATGTTAAATTAGCAAATTATAAACTGTATCAGAAAGCTCATATTTTCAAAATGGTGCAGAACTAATTCTCTGAACAGATTCAAACTTTGATATGCCATGTATTAAACCAAAAGTGGGTAATCTTTTAATTATGAGAACTACATCTGTCCTGTCAGGATGGTAACAGCCAGTACTATAGTGGGCAGGAGGAGGATGCAAATCTGAAGCTGATTTTTCAGGATGCCCATTCTTTGAAATGTCAACAGGTTTATTGCATAAATCTATACCAGTCTATTTGGAAGAAGGTCCCATATGCCATAAATCTATGCTGGTGTTTTTGGAAGAAAGTCTGACAATTAAAAAGGGAACTTATTCAGAGGATATAAGGTCATCACACCATTGTAAATGAAATCCTCCTTCTTTTAAGGTGTGCAATGTTGATACACATATAAAAGCAGTTGAGTTTCTACTAGAACACCACACCTGCCATCTGGCCTATTGTGATCCCCTTTGGAGATAATGGTTTGTCTTAATGACTCACCTACAAAAGTAATATTGTAGCTTTAGGTTACTTAATCCTCCAGAAACATACTTTCACTCATAAATTGAAGTTCTGTAATTCAAGGGAAACATCTAATGCCTGATCTTCAGCTAGAGAAATTAAATTAAACTTTTTACCTTTTGACTCGATTCACCATCCAAACTTGCTGTTGTAACAAAACATGTGCCATCTGATCGACTACTTGACAATAATATTAAATCACAGGGGAATGTTTCATCTTCTTTCACCATCACAATGTCTCCAACCTGGGGGGGGGGGAGGTCAGGGAGAAATTATGGTTAGAATAAGATTAGAGTTGATCCCTTTAAAAGTAAATACACTCTTGACATCATGTTAAACCAAAATGTGACTTGTCTATTTTTAGGCTTAGTATGACATCTATAATAACACAGGAACTCAACAAAATTGCTTAATGGTATCCATAAATCAAATTATTATAGTTTATTAGCACTGTACACTCAACATAGAGGCTTGGTTACAGAATGTGATAAGTCATAATGTAGTTTTGTTGTTTGTATCTTAATGGTATTTATATCCCATGTTAGCAGCTTAGTATTAGGCCAATCAAAGTAGCTTATTCAGTAAATCATGGTCAAAACAGATCATGGCCTAGCATGACGTGTTAACGCAGTCATTAACAGAATTAAAGCTAGGCTGCAACATAATGTAATTTGATTTGCATTTAATCTAATACGTAAATAATATCAGTGACTATACCATGATTCTTTCTGTGATTTTATTGTCATTCTGAACTGTAGTGTAAGCATGATATGCACATAAGGATTCAGGATTTATTTGAAAAGTTCTGATATAACTTTACAGTACTTTATTATTTCTGTCTAGGCACAGAGTGGCAGGACTATAACTGCAAATGAAAAAAAATAGAAATTCACTAAAATACTCATAATAAATTGGATAATTTGAAAACTCTATTAACTTTATTTTAGTTCTATCCTGTTCAGGAAATCACTGAATAGAAGTAGCACTTCCTCACAATTTCCTGTACTGCCCAGCTACAATATTTTATATCAGGTGATAAACTGGGTAATTGCAGTTGTAACAAGAAACGAAATACATGTCAAGACGTTGCAATGCAAATATTACCCCTCACATACTTGCATGATGTATTGTAATACTAGTGGAAAAGCTTTGCGTTGTGATATCTCAATGTCACAATGCAAATTTCATCATTTTAACTGATGTCAAGATGGCCGGCTGTAAAGTGTCCACCTTGAAGTACGCCAAGCCACAATTCCCATGATTTCATGCTATGTTGGCTGTGATTGCTAGAACCTATGGAATTTCCTGAAATTTAGGAATAAATAGGAACAGAGGATCACTCTTGAACACAAGTAGACTTCTCAGGAATTATTGAAATTTGTACCTTTAGACTGTTAGCTCCAAGAGAAACAAACTTAATATAAATGAAGGATCACATTCATTTGTTCCCTTGAGGTAGATCAAAAGTACAGAAATACATTTATGCATTTATGCAGTTTTTATGAACAAATTTCATTTTGGGAAATTCTAACCTTTTAAACAGAAAATTAAAAATATTTAAAGAACAGCAATGAAACACCCAACATTTTTCTAACTGTACTCCCTAAAAAAAACACCTATAGATAATAGCTTTTAATTTTGTTTTAAGCTCAGTTTAAAGTAGAAGAGGAAGAAAAACGTGGAACCATTTCTGTAGGAGGTAGTCACTTTTCATGCACCGATGAAGTAAAACAATATGCAAAACTCTCTCTAGAGGAATGGAAAAAGCACATCAACCAAGCAAAAGTATTTACTGACCTAGAAAAAAACTGTAAATTATAAACAATGTAATTTACGAAAAGAACACTCCAAAATTATACTCCTTTACCATTCACTAAAGCTGTCCCTCTTTTTCTTAACTTCCTCATGAGCCTAAAGAAAAACTGCTTGGTTCCTTTAAGAACTGCATTAACTTTAATTAGTAAACTGCTTAAAGCAGCTGTGAGGGTGCAGTGGTTAGAAGGCAGTACTGCAGGCTAACTCCTCCCACTGCTAAGAGTTCAATCCTGAACTATTCTTCCAAGGTTGGTAAAATGAGGAACCAGATTGTTGGGGACAGTATGCTGACATTGTAAATTGCTCTCAGAGTGCCATAAAGCACTATGGAGCAGTGTATAAATAATTGCTATTGCTAAAGCAGTGGCAGCCTCCCTGCCCCTCCCACACACAGAAGCCTGGAAAAAATTAGACTGCTTTAATTAATACAAATATGTTGTGCTTATGATTGTGGGAAACATGATGCACTTCTTGCAAGTCATTTCCACATATGTTGTACTCACTTACCTGGACACGCAATTAAAAATTCTTTGTTGTTAACAGAATAACATGCCTTGATCTGCTTTAAATAATTTCATATTATAAACATAAAGGTAAAGGTTCCCCTCGCACATATGTGCTAGTTGTTCCCAACTCTAGGGGTGCTCATTTCTGTTTCAAAGCCGAAGAGCCAGTGCTGTCCAAAGACATCTCCGTAGTCATGTGGCTGGCATGACTAAACGCCGAAGGTGCACAGAATGCTGCTACCTTCCCACTAAAGGTGGTCCCTACTTTTCAACTTGCATTTTTACATTCTTTCGGACTGCTAGGTTGGCAGAAACTGAGCAAGTAATGGGAGCTCACTCCATTATGCGGCACTAGGGATTCAAACCAAACTGCCGACCTTTCTGATCGACAAGCTCAACATCTTAGCCACTGAGCCACCGCATCCCTCTATTATAAACGTACAGAACCTTAAAAGATTAACCCCAAAAATATCATAATACGACAGTGACAAACACTTTCCTTGTTGTCTCAATAAAATAAGACCATGTCTAGAAATCAAGCTCAGTTTGAGTGAATTGGCCAATCATGTTCAGTTCTCACACACTGCCTGGACAAGTCCCTTCAATTTTCTCAACAAGGTTTTACAGAAGTGATTTTCTGTTGCCTGCTTCCTAGGGCTGAAACTAGCCCAACATTTCTCAACCCATAATTCTGGGAGTTGCAGTCCACCCACCTTAAAACTGCTAATGTTGAGAACTAGCCCAAGGTCACCCAGCTGGCTTTCTTCCTAAAGTGGCTCTAGATCTCAGTCTCTCTGGATATACTGCAGTAGTGTAGAGAGCCAGTTTGGTGTAGTGATTAAGACTGGAGGCTGGAAATCAGAATACCCTGAGTTCTGGTCCCAATTAGGCACAAAGCCAACTGAGTGAACTCAAGCTAGTTGCTTTCCCTCAGCCCTAGGAAGCAGGCAATGAAAACCCTGCCAAGAAAACTGCAGGGACTTGTCTGGGCAATCTCTGAGAATCAGACAAGAGTGCATAGAAGAAAAGAAAAAAAGATGTCACTACATTTGTGTCAAGTGTCAATCTGAGCTGGCATATGTATAAGGAGGAATGGGGAAGAGATTAGATTTAACATAGAAAACTGACGACAGAAAAGACTTAGTGATCTATTGAGTCTGTGCTTCAATTTTCTGCTTACTTTGTTTATTTATTATTTTTATTATTCATTTTCATTTTATTATTTTTTACCTTTTGTCAGATGATCAACATGTGTTTTATCCCAAGTATGTTTAAACTCAGTTACTGATGATTGACCCACTATCTCTGCTTTTGGTTCCAAGCTTTCACTACTCTTGTGTGAAGTAATACTTGCTAACATTTGAACTTCCCTCCTGCCAGTTTGAGATTACGTCCCCATGTTCCTGATTGTTGCTTAATATTGAAAATCCTGCCTTCTAGAACCTTCATATATTTTATAATTTCAGTCATGTCACCCTTTCTCTTCTGTCGCCCAGGCTGAACATATTCCGTTCCTCTAATCTCTCCTGATATGTTTTGTCCCTCAAACTTTGCACAAATTTTATTGCCCGTCTCTGGCCTTGCTTAATCTTATCTTTTGTTTAAATGAGGTCTCCAGGACTGGACACAGTATTCTCCAAATGAGGTCTGACTAATTTTATATGTGAGATTAGGACCTTTTTTCCTTATTGGTGATCCGTCTAGTGATGCATTCCAGAATTGTATTTGCCTTCACAGCTCCCTGGCCACACTGTTTACACATTTTGCAGTCATCTGCTATGAGCACACCTAAATTCTTTTTTTTCTGTGGTTCTGTCTAATACTGAACCCCTAATACTGTGCTCAGCTAAAGGATTATGTTTCCCTAAGTGCACAATATTACCTTTAGAAACATCGAAGAGTGGTTTCCACATTTTTGATCAACTTTTCAGCAATGTGAAATCATTTTTCCTGTTATGAATACCCCAGGAATGGCAATTCTATCACATACCTTTGTGTTATCATCAAAAAGACAAGCTTTATCTAACAATCCTTCTGTTATATCACTTACAAACCCACTGAATAGAACAGGAGTTTGACTGAGTTTTGTGATACACCACTTGTGTCTTCAGACAGTGCCCCATTAATGAGCACACACTGGGATCTATGCCTGAGCTAACTTGCTATCCACTAAACCACCCAGTGGCTAAGTTTTAACCTGTACATTTTTTATGAGTTTGTTGTGTAGAACTTTATCAAATAGTTTTCTAGAATCCAGATAGACTACGTTCCCAGCACCACCCTCATCGAAAACATTTGTGACGTTAAAAAAAATCAGTTAGATTAGTTTGACATGATCTGCACTCAGTAAAGCCATGCTGCTTTGGGTCCATAAAGAAGTGTGCTTTTTAAGTGTTCATTAATTGTTTTTTTCAGGAATGGTTCCATTAATTTTGCTATGTATTTATTCATGTATTCTCACTTTAGCATTGATATGTACCATTTTTGCAAGAAGATAAGCTGCCAAAATGAACTGTAGTCTAGAAAAGACTATAATAAATTTGCTAGTTTTAAAAGTATTAAGGCTATATATCAGAGGTCCCTGGACATTGGCTGGCAAGAAAATAAGAAGTTATTCATCACGCAGGAAATTGTACTATAATAATACGGTAGAGCACCATTCACTTCTTAACATATCACATATTTATATCCCATAACATTCTCTGATTTTAAATGATGCTGTTTTGCATGCTGTAGTTGTGGGTTGTGGCTCTTTACACATTCAGAAAGATTTGTCACTCTAAAAATGGTGGTTTTAATCTGATGTGCTAAAAGTGACTTTCTTATAAGGCAATTAAAAGCATTTCAAGACATTGTAATGGTCTGCATAAAGGAACAAATGTTCTAGCATTAGCTATCATTAAAGGATGAAGAACTATTGAATTTAGTGACAATTTCTACTCATTTTGGTACTAAAAAGCAAATGTTTCTTTTATTGACTTTTAGTTTATTTTTATTTATTTATGGCTTATTTGTGTATCTATTATATTGGCTTGTTTAGGTCAAGTTGAATGAGGATGTAAGAAAGGGAAGGAATGGCCTTGAGAAACAAAAGAAAGAAATGCTACTAAAAAATGATCAGATAAAAGGTGCTCACTCTGGGATAAGAATATAAGGTGTGTAAACATCTTAGCCAAGCCCTTTCCTAGTTTACACAAAGATAAGGATCATTCAGAGTTGCAATGTTCTCTTATATATAGCTTTACAATAAAAGTAGAGATGTGACATTGGTTTCCTGCTCTTTCTTGAAAGGCTGACACTGTGACAGCCACCATGGGAAAACTGTTTCTTTATTGTTCCTCAACAACAATAAAAGGATCCATATCCTATTGCATAAGGAGTGCTTTCAAAAACCAGGTAGAAATTAAATCGCAATAATAATTCTATAAATCAAGAGCACAATATTTGTATGTTTATTCAAAAGAATGTCCCCTATATTTAAGTAATTTTTACTGAACAATAGACAACAACACCTAACCAGGTAGTCAATGACCTACTTTGCCTTCATTCTTCACATATTGCAGGGTTTTTCTTCCAGCAAGAAAAATGAAATTTGAAAAGCCTGTTTGCCTATTTAAGCAGGGAGTGTAACAAAATAGCCCCTCAGTACCCTATGGAAAGTTGAGGAATCAGCATATACAATTGACATTAGCATTCAGAGATGTTATGGATGAAATTAGTACCCTTTCATTCTTTCTTGTCTTTTTTTGAATTTACACTTGCACTCATCTGATCTGTTGTGCTGATAGTTCCTATATATATAAAGTTATTTTAGTTCAGCAGAAAAAAAATCTACAAAGATAATTCCAATTGTAGTTTTCAAGTTATTAAAGATACCCCTGCTGCATATACTACATACATTAACGTTTGCCATAAACCTAGACAGGAAGACTCCTAAGTCATCATGAAGAGAGTGCTAGAATTAAGTCTCCTTTTTCAGTGAAACAGAACTCTTAAGAGCCATTGGTTCGATATCTACAGGAAGTGTAAAGTTCAAGTTACAAAGAACAAATAATGCCTGCTATAATACCAGTCTTACTGGTTTGTTTTCTACTTTATCTCTAATCTTGTTTGACTGTAATCTTATTCCCAGCTACCTTAAAATGTCTGAAAGATAGTACAGTGAAATTCATTCAAAATGGGTTTGAGTAGCTATTTACATTACAACATATTACTTTGTAATTTTCCTGTCAAAGACAAACTCAGAAGGTCACAAATAAGAGACTACTTTTTAAAACAAAAGCCAAGCCATGTGCCTTAAATACAGTACTAATATCTTTCTTAGCACCCATATAGTAACTTTATTATGATCACAGACCACCATAATTACATTTCTTATATTTCTTATGGCGTATGATTCATGTACTGTAATCCCACTTGCGTTGGGAACACTTTAATTATTTATTTAATCTAACATATGTAGTTGCCCACTTCACCAAAGCAATTCTGGCTAGTGTACAATAAAGCTAAAAATATAAATAAATGCATAAAACTACTTATCATTATTAATTATAAAAACATTTAAAAACTATAAAAGCATAACAGACGAAGGGATATTATTAACACTGAAGCCACATCACAAGTTCACTTTGGGCTGAGAAGGGAAGGCCATGGTAATTCTTAGCTACTTTGTGGCCAATCATAGCTTATCTATTATCATGGCTAATGACAAAGTGTTGCTTGGTGCAAGTCAAACATTCTTCCTTTTGGAAGATTGATTCATGCAGATAGTGAGATAACCTCTTTTTGTTCACTTGATGGATAATGGGATTGATATAATTCCTTTTTTACCACTCTGTATAATATCATGTACTCTATATAAAATGTTTTATCACATAACTAGATCAAATGCCATATACCATGATAGGCAGCGATGGGTTGTTACCACTGGTTTGCCCCACGCATGAAGCAGGCACACGTATGTCTTCCACCCATGCACCCAGACTCAAAAACATGCCTAAATAAGACAGCATAGAGCCGGGGCGGGTAGGCAGGCCCACCCGCGATTTCTGCTACTATTTCGGGCAAACTGGTCTGAATCAGCTGAATACCACCTCTGATAATAGGAAACCACCAATGGCACATCCTTTGGCAATATGAACAATTGTAACTTCGTTAAATGTACATTACATTTATTTATGAAATGTCTATTTGCCATAAGTGAAACCTTCAAAAATACACACATATCAAGAAATCTCATAAGTATATTTATTGACCCTTGATCCTTACTCTTAGTTTGCGGCTCTGCTTTCGAACCAGTTTGCCATGATGAATAAAATGAACCGGACACTGATTAATTGCATTGTCAGCTTTATGACGAAGCCAATCTTCATATCCCTGAATGAAAACGCAAAGAAAACATACAATCAAATGTGTGCTAGAAGAGGAAAATGCCAAACTACTGGTGCATGGTGACCAAAACAATTGCATAGTTGTCTCCACTTGAAACTGGCTTTCTTTTTTTATCCTTTGGCCTAGTATGCACCATAAATTAGAGAAACCAGGAAAGAAAGAAGGGAGTGAATGTAATGAAGGAAGAACATATACTCGGAACTTTAAGAGTAGGATCTCTGCTTCCAGAACTGAGTTTCCTTCCATGCATGAAGGGGAGCAAAACTCTTTCAATGGGATGCATAAACAGAGCTGAAATCCTGAAGATTTAAACTCTATTTGTGCTCCGCACTGAAGGAGATCCTTTCTCATGCATGGAGGGGAGCTGAACTCCTTCAGAAAGCAGTTCTTTCAGCCAATCCCCAGAAATGAGAGGGAGCCAAAATCCAAGCAGAGGGTGAAGAGTCAGCACAGTAAGGTAAGGAGTGCTGACCATCTGCTTAATGACCTATTTGATCACTCAATGATTGAGATTCCAGTCTCAATTGTAGTCATACGTCAAGGACAACCTGCAAGAGGGGTGGGTCTTAAACATCATGGTCCAGTTCTATCTAGACCTTTTCTCATATAATTCATGCAAGTACTCCTGTTGGGGAGTACATAAAGTATTTCACTGACATACTAGAATTTTCAATGTTTATTCACACTGAGAATTATAATTTAGAATAAATATCAATAGTTTCATTGGAGTCCCCACAACACTCAGGAATCTTAGAGTTCAACACAAAATTCAGTTTGTATAACTACTTAATGACTAAAAACTATCACAAACTATTTCTGAAAAAATGATATTATTGCAGTACTACTGAAGTACTTAGAAATTAATTCCGTAGCATAAAGTAGAAAGTATTATTCCAATATATCAGTATCTGCATGTTTGTTTTCAGGCTTCCCCCACCCCCCCAACTTAATTGTAATTGTTTTATAATTTCCTTTTCATCAATCAATTCATCCTTGACAGTAACAAATCAATGGGTGAAGGATAAATAAAGAAATATAGTTTTCATATATCTTGGGTACAGCAAATATAACTGCTGTAATCAAAAATAAAAATTCAAAATCAACAAGTGAGGCTTTCCAGAACAAGGGAAATCCCCCTTTTTTTTCTTTTGCCTGACTGGGGAGTTCTAAAAGTCCACACATATTAAAAGTTATTGAGGTCGAAAAACATTGCTTTAAGCCAATCATCTTTCAGTCCAACTGAGGGAAGTAAAGGCAGAAGGAATGACAACAGTCATTGAAATGAATGCAATGTTCAAAAAAACTTTTTTGAAATCCATGCAGTATGGATCGGCCTCCAGTTCTGACACTGAAAAATTAAAATTCTAAAGAGTTAAAATGCTTACCTGTTTTATAGCTGTTACAGTGATGACAAAGAAAAGTGGCAGCCCGCTTGTCACTGGACTGGTTGGCGTGTCAATAATTAACTGGGAAATAAAGTGTCACATATTTTTTATAGAATATGGATTTCAACAAAAAACAAATATAAACAAAGAATAGAGTTTTCACACTATAATTTTATTAAAACAAACACTGGGTGTTGAAAAGCAGTGAGGTACAACTTGACAAGACAATTTGTCAGAATAATGACTACGCAGCCTAAATATTAAGGAAATTGCATAACTTGAAGAAATCCAGCCATATTGATAATTTCAAATGACTGATGGTGTTGTTAGGTATAATGCGGAAATACAGAGGAAACTCTGGTTTGTTGCTTAGCATGACTTAATTACGGTTCCTTGAAATATACCTTTCTGATGCATGTTTTCACAAACACGTTTAGTGTTTAATATTTACAACAAAAGTGTACTTTGTTTAGGGATTTTGCACTGCTCCTTCCCAAGGGCACATATCATTCTGAATTTGAACCAACCTGTTGTGAGTATAAAATGAATATTCTGGCTTTTCCAGAAGTTTTTTTTTCAAAGTTTCCAAACTCCAAATGCAAATATTTGCAAAACAGGGATTTTAGAGTTTGGAACATTTTCTATAAGATCACTGCAGCTATTTCAAAGTCAAAAAGGAAAGTGACTATAGGTAGTTTATGACTTACAATAATTTGTTTAATGACCATCTGAAGTTACAACAGCACTGAAAAAAGTAACATGACCATTTTTCACACTTATGACCATTGTAGCATCCCCATGGTCATCTGACCAAAATTCATATGCAACTGACTCATATTTAAGATGGTTGCAGTGTGCCAAGATCATGTGATAGCCTTTGCAACCTTCTGACAAGCAAAGTCAATGGGGAAGCCAGATTCACTTAACATCCATGTTACTAACTTAACAACTGCAATTATTCAGTTAACAACCATATTACTAACTTAACAATTGTGATGATTCACTTAAACTGTGACAAGAAAGGTCATAAAATGGGGCAAAATTTACTTAATAATTGTCTTTCATAGCAATAGAAATTTGGGGCTCAATTATGGTCATAAGTCAAAGAACTACCTGTACTTTCCTTTGCATTTTTCCTGTATATGGCTTATATATCTAATATAAAAAAGAGATGCATTTTACCTGTACAAGAAAAATGATAAGAAAGTAGAAGTTTGCTATTCTTCGGAACTGCTCAAATAGGTTTTTCGGTATAAAGTTCCAAAAGGTATACTGAAAAAGATGGGAAGTTAAGAAAGGCTAAATCTTAATTTACAAAGGAATTAGACATGATTTCTGTCTTTACATATCAACAGTACAATATATTGCAAAATGTTGGGAATAAATTGCATACTTGCAAAATCATTCTATGATCATACAAAGATTATAAGTTACTGTATTTTTCGGAGTATAAGACGCACCAAGGTTTTGAAGAGGCAAATTTTTTTAAAAAGTTTTTGACTCTGCAAACCTCCCCAAAACAGCCTGTTTTTTGCTAAAACAGGCCCATTTTTTTTCAAAAAAAAAAAAGGGCATGAATAGCCCTTAGGAGGCTTGTAGAGTGCTCATGGGGAGATGGGGGGCAAAAACGAGCAAAAGAATGGCCCATTTTTTGCAAAAATGGCTCCATTTTTTGTCAAAAAAAGGGCATTAGGAAGCTTATAGAGTGCTCCTGGGGGCTGGGGGGCAAAATTGAGCAAAAAAGCAGTCCATTTTTCCTCATTTCTGCCCTCCCCAGCCCCCAGGAGCTTTTTGAAAGCCTCCATAAGGCTATGTACGGTCATTTTGGTGAAGGGGTGGGTGGGTTTCAGGAGGCAAAATGTTGTATTCAGTGTATAAGACGCACCCAGATTTTCAGTATCTTTTTTGAGGGAAAAATGTTTGTTTTACACTCTGAAAAATGTGGTATATATTATATACAGTATCCAGGGGTGGGCTGCTGCAGATTTGCACTGATTCAGGAGAACCTCTAGCTAAGAATCTGCCCAGTTCAGAGAGCCCGCAAATCCCACCCCTGTCTGGCCCTGCCAATCCTGCCCAACCCACCATGGCCACACCCACCCAGCAATCAGGCAGGGAACCCCTTGCTAAAATTTTTGAAGCTCACCCCTAGGAATGCTAGACTGGTGGGCAGTTGCATCATTAACCAAGGCTTGTGTGCAAGGCAGGCTTTTTGAGTGGTAGCAATGTGGCTAATGCTAAAGTTGAGGTGGGAGCCTCAATTTCAGAACCAGCACTGCCACTGAGTTTTCATAGTAGCCTAAATTGAACATGCTATTTTTTTTTATTTTTTTTTTTAGTATTGGCAAATTTTAATAGTAAACAGCCATTTTTTATTTCAGTGCCAGACGTCTATAATTAAATAAGAGACTTTGGTGTAAAAATTAAAATTGTTGATAAAAAGAGGGGCATGTATACATTGAAGCCAAAAGTGTAAGAAAAATTAAGTAACTATGACATAGGAAAGGAAAAGAATAAAGATATAAGGGAATACCTTTGATGAGACTATTCTGTTGTCTGGATACCTCTGCGGAATGTATGCTTCAGCACCTGGAGGGGGTTCACGATGCCCAACATAAATTGTCCGATTGTCTACCCAGTTCTCTTCCCCAGCACACTGTGAAGAAAAAATAATATTTCAGCCAGTAATTCTATATCAGAGGCTTGGTTTTGTTGTTGTTGTTTTGCTTTAGGGAGCATTCCCCTGATTTGAAGTTATTTTCTTTCCGGTTTGTATTTTCTGTTTTATTGTAGTGCTATTGTGTTCGTATTTTATTTTACACCATATTTAATGTAAGCCTCCAAGAGTCCTTTTTTATTGGAGCAGTAGAGAAATATATTAAATAAACAAGTAATAAATAACTGAACTAATGAAACATGCATCAACTCATGCTTCATGTAGGATTAAAGTTCCATCTCCTAAATCTCTAATGAATAATATTCATAATATGAAATATAATAAATATAATAGATCATAGATAGATAGATAGATAGATAGATAGATAGATAGATAGATAGATAGATAGATAGATAGATA